ATGCTATCTTTGCACCTGTCTTTGCGTGGGGACTTCTTATACTGCATTTAGAAGTTGCTAAATGTAATATTTCGGGACCCTTTCAGTGAAACTGGTAGTGTACCTGGTTTGATTGGCAAGGTCGCAGACCCCTTCTGCAGAATGTTCCCTTCCACTGGAATGTGTCCAGTCTGGTCTCCTTTTGTTCCCGTCCTGTTCTCATGGCTGCTGTTCCTGATTGCCTCGTCCAACATACAGTGAAGGCGGTGTATGTGAATGTATTTCAATTGAGAATGAGCTTACAATGCTGTAATACTGAATGTAGGAACAATTATCTATAGTACTAATAAGCTGTGAAGTAATGAGTGATACATAGATCACTGTGTGGTGTTACCCAGTAAACCTGTCAATAATTGTTTTTCTCCTGGCTAAGCCTTGTTCTAACAACTGTAGGTATTACTTACTTTAATGAATGTATCGCTTACAGCTACAGTTACAATTCTTAAAATGATTTCAATTCATTTGTTTCTGTGACATTCATATAAAAGGTAATCCTTAGTGTGTTGGTTTGGGTAACACAAGGTCTGTTGAGAGGGAGTAATAAGGAAGGGAGAAAAAGAATCACATAGGAAACACCTGCAGTTCTTTTTTAAAAAAGCAACGTGAAGATATTTTTATTTACCACTAGTGTTCTGTTGTTCATAGCTGGAGTAATAAATTAGATACTTTTGATGTGTGCAGAGGAGTGCGGAATCCTTGTGTGCCTTATGAGAATTGCTCATATAAATTATGTCAGTCAGCAGCTTTGTTCAAGATCTAAGTGTTAACGCTGGAGCGGAGCAGTGGAAATACACTGAATCTACAGTTACACAAAGTGAAAGCTGTTCAGATTTATTGACTTTTTGTTCTTGATCATGAACTGTTTGAAGTAAACATGTTTACATCCAAAACCTCGTGCACCTAGATAAACAGTGCCGAATTTAACATGGCCTGCTACTTCAGTGGTGGTTAATAGCCCTGAGCATTCAATACAAGTGTATCCCATAAGGATTTTGCAAGTTTTCTTTGCTTCTTGCTACCTTGAGATATAACAAAATGTGTTGTGCTGATGTGTTGTGTGTTCTAACAAAGACAACGTTTTAGGCGTTACTTAGATTTGAGAGTTTGCTTACACATGAGCTGCATGTAAAGAAGGTCGCCTACAGAAAACACTTCTCGTTTTCCCCACTTGTTCTTCAAATCAAAGCAAGTAAGATTCAAATAGAGGTACGCATGCACACACACGTTGCCCAGAGGGGTGCAAGGCTCTGCTGCTGCTGCTTGGCCTGCAGGGACACTAAGAGCAGGTGTCCAGGCACAGGTTTGGTTGTGGGGTTGTAGCCTGGGATGGGACTGCTGTTCCCCTCTGCCAGCACCGGGCCGGGCAGCTGCCACGGTGGTGACACCGCTCTTTGTTACGGTGTGCGGCTCCTTGCAGGCTGCTGTAGCCAGCAGCAAAAAGTGGCTGCGTTGGGCTGGATTTGTCTTGCGTTACCCAGCTGTTTTATTTACTCATTCTTCCTCTCACTTTTTCAGAATCGGTCCAGATTAGTTGTAATTACAGGTAAGAGATGATATCCACATGGCATCTGGCAAACAGCAGACCTGCCTACTCTTAACTTAGGGTGCTGTTACAGGCTATGTGGAAAAAACAGTGTTTATTTTGACATTCTTCTGTCAAACTTGTTACATGATTGAGGAATGAAGCCAAGTGCCTCCAGAACAAGAGAGAAGCACACACACATTGAGTGCCTTCAGGGTATCCAGAAGTTCAGGGATAGGTGACTAACGGTGGCCTGCCATGATATCTGGCATGTGTGTGTGAAAAGGAGTGTTCTTAAATGTTATCTGTGGTGTTTGTTGGGGTATGAAACAAAACAGCTTCCTTTGAGTATTAGAAGGGAAATGGGAAAAGAAACAGCAGAAGTGGGAACCTTGCTCAGATTTGAGAAGCTGTTTGTAAGTATGAAATGTCTTCCTTGTGTGCCCATAGGTGTTCATGTGAAGCATATACTTTGTTGTTCTTAAGCTTTGTGATGCTCTTGTTCCTTCCTAGGAGTGCTCTTGGAGGCTTTCCATGAATTTTTTAAGTTAAGTGGCTGTACTGCAAGCTATGTAGCCAGGAACAGCCTGAGAAGTTGGGGTTTGTGTTGGGGTGCAGCAGGTGCACAGCACGATGGCAGGCTGGTGGCTGGGCAGCCCTTCAGGCGAGCAGAAGCTGTGGGTTTGCATTTTCCTCAGGCTCAGAAAGTTGCAGAACTGGGACTGCTGCGTCCTGGGCCAGCTCTCCACCTGCTGGGCACCGGGGTGTTTGCCCAGGGGAGGGAGGAGGAGGAAGAGGAGGAGGTCACTGCCTCCTGACTGAGGATCCTCAAAGTGCAAAGCAGAACCTGATCTGAGGGCCCCAGTTTGGCTTCTTTGTGGGGTCGAGGTGGGGGAACACTCACCTGCTGAAGTTATTTTTTAGAGAACAGCAGTTTGGGGCATGAAGAGAAGTGAATATTAGACTTGTCTGTAGTTTTGCCTTAAGCCTTTGCCTGACATACATTCAGTATGAATGCTGAGGTGGCAGTCTCCAACCATTCCCTCTTGTGAAGCTGGAATTCGGGGAGCTTTACTCTTGATTTTAACCTTCAGTTTTACCCTTAATGTGAAATTATTTCCTTTATTGTGAATATATAGCAGTCACTTCTATGTCTGTACTAAGTTTGATAAAATAACAATCTGGAGTAAAATGTAATATGTAAAATAGTGTATGTCCATACATGTATAATGTCTGTGGTAAATATTTTTTTTTTTTTTTTTTCAAGAAAGCCAAGTTTAAATCAGGTTATTTAGAAGTTGTTCTCAACTCTCATTTTTAACCAGTAAGAAAAAAAATACCACACAGCTCCATTCTAATTTGTTGCATTGTGTTCAAGGACAAACCTCCCTCTGAATCACGCAGTTTTGGAAAGCACCCTTGCACAAGTTAGAGGAAAGCCTGGCATTTTCCCCATTTTCCACTGTTCATTCTGAAGGGATGTCAGATTCCTTGGGAAAAAATAATTTGTGAAAGGTCACAAACAAAATAAAGAACATTCTTGAGTATACAGTTACAGCTAATTGAGAGCTGGACACACAGTGCAACAACAACGTCGCTCGTGTTTGGAAAGAGCATCTGTATGCAGGGAGGGCTGGGTTGAGGAACCGTGGTGTGGCACAAATAAAGGAATGGTTGGGGACAAATCACTTTTCAGGTTTACTTTCAACATACAGTAAAATTAAAATGTTTTTGTTTAAAAAGACTGAATTTGTTTTTGCTGAGGGCTAAGCTGGCTTCTTGCATCATGTCAATACAGGATTAAAGCTTTTCCATATGGAAGAGCCTCCGGTTGTGACTGCTCTGCTTCCGCATCCTGTTGTGAAGAGCCTACTCTTTGCTTTTCCTTTTCAAAGATGATCTTCCTAAAAATCTTCCCTAAGGGAAAAGATGGGAAGGTAGAGGATAGAATATGCTGCCATACCATGAGGGTGAAATTTCCAACACAATGTAGTTTAGGGTAGAATAGAGCTCCATACTTCCTTACCGCAAGATTTGTGTGTTTCAGGCACATTGTGGCCTACCAGAACTAAATTGTCAGAACTGTTAGGCTATTACACTAGGTCTATTTAGTGTCTTCTGTTCAAAACCCTTATTAATTCAGTTGCTGGCTCAAGATGGAAACTGTTTTCTGTATTTCTTTGAAGTGAGCTAAAGCAAGCAGCTACTTGGGGTATTGACTTAAATTTGCTAGAGGTATTTGAAACTTTAGAATGTCTTTTAATCTAATTTAATTTTTTAAATAAGTAAATACTTTTAAATAAGTAAGCGTGACCCTGCAGGCATTGTTTGAGAGCCCTGAAAAGTGGTTTTCCTATCCTGGCAGAGGGCATGATTTTGTCAGCTGAAAATACGTAAGAAGCAATTCGGGAAAAAATGGGAAGGGTCAGAGGAAGGAAGGACATCTCTCTGGCTCATCATACGCAGTATCAAAACACAACTTCTGCCACAGTGCATTGTATATCATATAAGCTATTTGGACATTTGATTTCAAATCCTGTGATAACTTCCTTGGTTGTCTGGGAGTGAGTGGCTGAGCTGTGCTGAGCTGTAGCTGTGTTACAAAAGCTGACACGTGCGCCAATTACCAGCTTTGAAAGCCTAACCCTAACCAACTTCCAGTTTGTAAAAGATTTCACTACTCAGTGTACATGCTACTGAAGTAGTGTACAGCTGATAAAATATTACTGTAACTGTGTAGCTGAATAGTTAATTATATGTATATTTCTACCTCTACAGCTAGTAAAAAAGTTAATAGCGTAAGATAAAAAGTCCTTTTCGGCCTGTGTCTTATGTGCAGTTTTGAGTCTTATCAGTTCATTCTGAATAAATAAAAATTATTTACTTTTGAGATAGTCATTACACATAATAAAAAAGTTTTTTTTATGTGTCTGTTACTTGTAAACCTGTTTTCTGTCTTTAAATGTATTTTAAGAGTCAGCGGGAGATAAGACCTAAAATTCCTGTAGACACTGTGTTGTTCTGAGGTGAACATCTGATTAAGAACATGGAGTGTACTTAATTGAAATCAAACTCAGGATATGTTAGAATTGGTGTTCAGTAAGTAAAGTAAACAAAGAAAATGGAATGGCACAATGCTTGTACCTGCTTCGTGGCATAATTGTATCTATCTATCTGTCTATTTATTTATGAATTTATCTAAACACAGAAACTTATGAAGGCAAAAAGCCTTCAACACGGCTGTAGTGTGGCTTCTGTTTCTGGGCAAATAGTCTTTCACTCCTGAAAAGAAGGACTGCATTTGATTTGTGATGAGCGTGTCATTAGGTTGTCCTTTGTTTTATCCTGTAAAAAATCGCAACTAATCCAAACATTTAAGTTTTTAGCCACAGCAGTGGATTGCATCTGGATGACCAAAACTACGTATTTCTTTTTCTAGGTGTGGGCATTCTCCTGTGTACCGTTCCCGTGAGATGTCAGGTCGGGCCCTTGTTCCATTTGTTATGGTCAGTGAAGTGCCGCACACAGTAACATCACTGCTGAGGGAGCTTCCAGACTGTACCAGTCCTTGCATACGACAGAATAATATTCACGGAACGCTTCTGCAAGTATGTTTTTATGGTGTCTTTTGTTGTTTTTTTTTTGGTGGTACTTTACAGTCAGATAAAATGCAGTGAGCTGTGCTGAGTGTTGACACGTTGTTAAACTACGTATAAAGACTGCTTTTGAGTCGATTCTCTCAGATGATAAATATGGGATGCAAATTTCAACAGTCATTAGAAGACTGCAAGTTGTAAATATCAACATTTACATTTCGTATAATGTTTCATCTCTGGAGATTAAAGTGCTTTGAGAGCAAATATCTTTATCTAAACATATCTAGAGAGATCCGTGTGACTCACCCAGAATCACAGAGCAAATCTGCGGCAGAGCTGAACTCCGAGCACCAGAAATATCATAGATGTTGAGACTTGCTGCTTACCTACATATTTATGTACAACTTGATTTGCCATTCCTGCTACATCATGGGCTTCACGTCAGTTTGCTGTGCACAATGTGATAAGTTTTATACTGTATTCTTCAGAAAACATTCTGGAGAACAGCTCGCTATCAGTTGGGAATCAGAAATTTCTTCATTCCTCATACATCATTCCTTTGGTTTATGGCAGTCGGTTCAGTGTGTTTGATTTTTAAGCTATCATGGTAATAAGTTACCCATTTTTATTGCCTGTTTTTCACAAGCAACCCTCCAACAAAGGCATATTGTATATGTTCGGCTCTGTTAGTCTGCCTCTGTTAGCTGGCAATCTGTCTTGGAACACATTCCCATTGTAAAGTGTGTGGTGTTGTGTGTCTGTGTATGTGTTTGCGGGATATTATTTTTATGTATCTCTTCCAGCTTATTATTTCCCTTTCAAATCATGACCTTACGGGAAGCCCACGATAAGGAAATGAGTAAAGTCTCTCTAGAGCTGTTATTGCCAACTTTACCTGTACCTCTCCACACTGATTATCAGCTTGTTTCTAATATATATTAACTGACAAGAAATAATTGGAAATCTGATAATTCCTTCAGTGTTTTTAGAAGTTGGTGTCACTTTGCTTGTCTAAAAAGGAATGTTGATAATTTTGGAAAATTGGCATCTTGTGAAAGATGCCAACTAGCTGGATTGGGATCAGAGGAGTTCATCCAATTTAATTGGGATTTGGCAGATGATAGGTAAGAGAGAAGGTCGTCCCAGTTTGTGGTTGAGTCTGCCCTGCTGCAGATGTCAGTCCAGCAGCTGTGTAGGACGGAGGGGATTACCATCATCAAACTACCTGTATCTCTACCAGTGTGCCACAAAACTGGAGTCCTTCTGGAAGTGTTAGGAGGTGGAAACATTTTGTTAATCTTCAAAAGGTTTATAATCCTCATAACAAGAGTATGGACTGGCTGTAACATATAAAGCCACTGCTGCCTTTTTAGTGACCTTGTAGAAAAGTAATAGTAGAGGGTTTGTTCTGAAACTGCCCAAAGGATGATCTGTTTTTTAAGCCGGTGTTGCTGACAATATGTTATGCATAGGTCTAGGAGGTTTTCACTTCCATCTGTGTGAACCAGGAGGTGTTTTTATTCTCAGGTCTTTTACTGTGGTCTCTGGGTCAGTTTGGGCAGTCACTAGGATCTAGTACTGAATTGCTACTGCGCTGGGGGAAGACTGGTGCTCTCAGAGTACCACATTCTTCAAAAAAATGTCAGTGGTGCCATAGAAATCCAGCGATGTTTGGTCTCTTGTGTGTCTTGGGCTTTGTTTTATGATTCATGTTATCAAGGTTATGCAAAGTGTTCGTTTAATACTTAATCAGATGTAGTGTATGACTGAAATGCTAAAATAACTGTTGATAGTTAAAAATAACAAATATTCAGAAGAAATACTGAAGGGTGATGGATTTACAAAAAGGGCGGCACTGTTCTTTGATGTCATACCTGTAAAATACTAGTGCCACGTAGTTCCCCACATAGTGCGCACCTACTGTAAACAGGAGGGCAAAGAGCAAAGTGCTGTGACTTTCAGGGGTTTTGGATGAGTGGTTTCAGTTTCCTTTTTATCATTGTAAGAAGGGACTCACAAAGCTTATTGAATGGAAGGTTGTTACCAGACTATTTATTAAAGCTTTGAGACAGGGATCTGACAGTGTTCAAGACTGCACTGCATTTCCAAGGCACAGTAGAGAATTTATCTTCCTCTTTGATATGAAAATCCCTACGAAAAAGAGTGAGCCTGTACAATGCTCGATAAAATTTAGATTATTTTTTTCCAGCAATACAAGGCCAATGTCTTATGAAAATAGAATTCAGTTAATTTAATTTCATTTCTTCAGTCACATTAGTCAGAAGCTGACTGTGTTCACTGCCTGATTTTTATTTCAGTGGTCATATGCTGTCAAGTCTTGAGCAGGAAAATTGGAATTGTTCAGACTTAAAACTTAGATGGCAGTGCCAAATGTAATAAATTTTGAAGGTAAATTACAGTTATGTTTCAGGGTAATGTAATTGCTTCATCTGTTGCAAGCCAAATGTTCATTTATAGACAGATCATTCAAAAAAAGTTCAGACTGCAGTGCTTGTCCAAACACGGGCTGGTTTTCAAAACGCTGAGATTGACAGGGACTATTTGGGACAGTAAATACAAATGTGCTGTGTTTCACTTCAGCCTGCTGCATCAAGTGAAAACATGGCTTTTGGTCCCCAGTGTGATAATCTTGACTCAATTTATGTATGAATATAAATGTGCATGAGGATAAAATAATTTTAAGGCTTACTTGTTTTACATAAGAATTATTTTCAAGAAAGGAGGAATGTTGTCGTTCTGCAACTCTTACAGAGCTGATGGTAACCTTCAGGGAGTAGGTTTGCACCAGAAGTAAATGTGTTGGCTTAAAAAAGACAAAGAAAAGTCCACTCAATGCTTAGTGCTTTCTCTATGAATGCAGTTTCTAATTCTCTGTTATCCAAACTGATATGGGGGCTGGGGAGGGACTTAAGCTTGTAGTTCACTAGAAAATATGGAAATCTTCTGTTGGACTTATTAAATGATTAAATTTCTGGCTTCTGTTGTTTCAAGATCTAGTTTGTTGTGTGTTTATTTTATTTTTATTTTTTTTTAACCTGATTAGCTGAAGGGAGGAGCTTGTCCAGAGCTTTGTCTAGAGACTTCTTGTTTGCAAATTTTTTTTGACTTTTGACAGTTGCCAAGGATCTTAGAATAGTTGGGAAGATTGTGAGGTATCCTTATCAACGGATCCATGAAGTAGCCAAAATCTGCTCTCCTGAAATCCAGGGTTGCGATCTTGTTTTTTGCCTTGCTGCCTTCTCTCAGGATCCTGAACTCTATCATCTCCTCACTGCAGCCAAGCTGCTTTCAACCTTCACGTCCCCAGTGAGCTATGCCTTGTTTGTGAGCAGGAAGTCCAGCTCCTTGCCTTTTTTTTTTTTTTTTTTTTGTCAGAAGGTTGTCATCGGTGCTCTCCAGGAGATACCAAGTTTGGTGAAGTCTCCCCTGTGAGGACTGGGGCCTGTAAACTTGAGGCTACTTGTAGCTGTCTGTAGAAAGCCTCATCCCTGTGTTTGGTCCTGCTCAGGTGGCCTAGAGCAGGCACACATTGCAGTGTCACCTGTGCTGCCATCTGTTCTTGAGCCCTTACCCTTAAGCCATCCCACCATGTCTCTGTGATCCCAGCAAGACCACAGCCCTGCAAATTGCACACAGACATCTCAATGCCTGGGATTCGTTAACCTACCCCTTTGGTGCTTTAAAGCAGAAAAAAGTTACAGGATGCCTGAGCATGGTTTGTCTGGAAAACAATGCAGCACCTTTAATTCATCCAATTGTAGTTTATTTATAATGATTAAAAAACTCCCAAGTGCATGAGCTGTCAGATTGGTTTGCCAAAGAAAGCAGATGTTAGACTTTTGCTTTTGTTTTTATCTTGTAAGAATCAGGTAACATGATTGATGCTGGGTTTCAAAGGCTCTGCTATGTATGTAGATCTAGCATCTAATTGTTACAAGTACAGGAGAAAGCAGCAGGGAGACTGAGGCTTTCGGTCACAGTTCTGCACTCACTAGTTTTCAGAAATCTGCTCACATTTATGTGTTCAAAAATCTGTACCTACCCTTACACTATCTTTATATTGAAAATAATTCACTGGTCTGCTGCAATTAATCACAGAGCAGATGTAATTACTGTTAAGGTTTCTGTCTTTCTCACATGAAAGAATCTGCACATCAGCTGGGTCATCATCTTGTGTGTTGGCAGTTTGATCTTCCTCGCATTCACTTTGGCAAGCCTACAGTGATGCATTTTTTGAACACAGATCAGATAAATGAAGGTTATTAAAAGAGCCAGCGCCTCTTCTTTTAAGTTCCCTGTGCATTGTTTTGCCCATTTCTGAAACGTGCTAATCCGCTTCCTAGCGGTCTTGTGTTGATTTATACCTAAACATTGGCAGTTCCTGGCTTCAGGCTGCTCTCCAGAATGGTACCACAATTTTTGCTTCCTCCATCACTGTCCAATTCACTATGCAGTCCCTGCCTTTTGGAGTGCATTTTGCATTCCCTTTGGCATTGCTGGGCACAGATTAGGAGAAAGGTGGATTCAGTGACTTCTCCCTCATCATTTGATGCTTGTATAGGAAGAGAGAGAACTACATGAGTTTGTATAAATGTGCATGCTGCCTCTATTTGCTGTCTCCATCAGGAGATGGATTGAACTGTCCAAGATACAGTTTCTCATAGAAGTTGACTGTGGGTTATGCAGTTGGACACATGAGGAACAATTTCTGTCTGGAAGCTTCTTTGGTTTTGAAGATTATTTACTTTTTTGTTGGTACCTTACAGGCACAATCAAACAACTGCATATAATAAAAATTCTCTGGTCTATCTTGTCTTTGCAGATGGATCCTTCTTGTTGTGACTGCAGCTTAGTCACAGAAATTCTGCCTGGTCCCTGGGAAGGTTTCTCTCCAGTTCCCCTATCTTCTCATCTGAGGTCTAGCTGGTAGCTTCTATTCTTTCTGGTCTTTGCAGTCTTCCCACTTGCTGTTATCACTTCTACTGATTTAT